TGCTTTGTCGACGAGTTTCCCGGGAGAGGAGACTTTTCTGCAGGGGGTACAGGTAAAGCTTTAAGGATAGCGTGTACTTCTTCTGCCACTGCCATGAGAACGAATTTAAACTGTTGCTTTGTCGCAACCATATCAGATCTTTGATCTCTTATATGTTCTAATGTAGCTGCAATGTCGATTTCTTTGGCTCCTTTCATCATACGGTTCAGGACCATGTCGATTAAACAATATGTACCAGTACGCCCAGCACCATCACTATAAAAAAATCATATTTCTTATTTCTATTCAATGAATCATGTGTGCAATCATATAAGATTATTAACTATTTTGCAAAAAAAAAACAATCTGCCATTATAAGTACAACATCTTAAATATATTAAATAATATAAAAATATTATATAAAAAAATGTTACCTGCAATGCACAACTATAGGGCAAGACCTGCCTTTATAAGATTTGTTAATTTTCCTAAAAACAGACAGTAATAAACATTAGAATACGTTTTATGTAAATTAATTGTAAATATATTTGAACTATAATTTAAATACTGTAATTACAGTTTGTATCATGATGTTAAATTATATTATCGTTTACAGTTTACATTGTAACTACTTACCGGCGGAATTCAAGAAGAGCCTTGATGGAGTGTGGTACGTTGTTCTCAGGCCAGGACAAGAAGTGGAATTGGGTTACAGTTCTTGTTTCACCGGTACGTAGATTCTTCAAGTAGAAGGAACGCACCAAGTAGTCATCGCACCAGAAATGCTCAGACACAAGATGCACCTCATAAATGTGATACAATTCTGATCCTTCTTCGGGCCAATAACGATGACACATAGCAACACCTTCTTCGGTAAGTCTAGTTAGCATTACGATTACGACGCTGCCTTGTTCCCAAACTAGTTGCCAAAAGTCAGCCGTCGTTTCTGGTAATGGTCCTTGCGTGGCGATATAAGCTGGATTTCGAGGATCATGGTCCGTCTAAAAAGAAAAGGAAAAAAAAAAATAGATTTATTTGAAACATTATTTTCTTCATCATTAATCCTACGTTGAGAAGCAAGTCACACGGCTTTCTTGAGTACGTAGCAAGCGTATTTCCTACTTTTTAAATTATCATGTGATTCTGGTGATTTCTTTTTTCATATTATGCAGAAGTTGTTTAGATCTTACTGTAATTAAATTTGCATTTTTTATGTTTAATCTGATAAAAAGCCATTTTGTGGTAGTTAAACTAATACCTAAACTATGTGGTGCACGCATAACGTTCATCTAAAATGAAAGTTCATCACAAAATGTAGATATAAATTTACAAGAAAAATTCATTTTTTGTACAGTCCTCTTGAGCTTTCTATTTAAATATTTACTTCTATTCACAATTTAGTTTTAATGATAAATTAAAACAATTAGAAGCTGAGTGCTATGACAAGCATTTAGATTAACTTCTCCACTGCTTTTCGTATAATGAATTTATTTTTAATTTTATATCTATATTTATGATACCTTAAAACTCATGCCTCGATTTGCAATCAATACTATTGAAATCTACGCGGAAGCGTTCACAGAGGAAGCATTTTGTTTTGCCGGTAAAACTGCGAGAATGTAACAGAAAATTCTCCATGCTCCGTGTCGTGTGACTTACCGATTTCTATTTTCAGTTCCATTTTCAATGATTTTAAAATGTAAACCACGCACGTGTTATTTTACTCTATATTTACGTCTTTCTTGAATTTTTAAGCAATCTCAAAATCTAGACAAATTTAAGAACACTTACGATCGTAGAGGCGTTAATATAGTCGGAGTTATTGGCATTAGCAAAATCGTTTAGAATCACCCTGGAATGATCATAGGGAATTGCTGCACCAGGACGATTACATTTAACATTTTCTTCCTTTTGTGCGACTTCAGTCGAACAAGGATCCACTTCGTACGCGCACAATGCCGCCCATTCTTCATCCAATCGATCTTTATTCTTCAAATGATCTTCCATGTAACTCTGGAAATAGTATGCAATATTAAAAAAATTTTGCAAATTATATATAGTGTGAATCTTGCTTCGAAATGTCGAATCTATGAAAATAGTCTATGAAAATATTGTATCAACTTGCCAAAACCATTTGTCCGGTTGATATATCCATATTTGAAAGAGCTGGTTCCTCTCCCCAGGAGGAGGTGCTAGATCGATTTGACGGGAAATTATTGGACTCGTTTTCTCTGCTTAAATTGGTAATTCGCGGTGATTCTGGCTTATCTGCCGGTTGTTTGGCATGCATCCTTGCTCTGCATAAATCTTGATAGTCCTTCGATGCTTCCGGATCGGGTGTAGCTAATCCTGCCAGTTTGGCTCTTGCTTTAGCGTGTCGACGAGCGATCACCAATGTGATTGCTGCAGCTGCGATAGCAGCTACCACTCCTGCAGTCACTATCGCTCCGAACATGCTCGAACTCATTTCGGCTTTTCTAACAACTTCCAGCATTGCGGGTAGTTTGGTCTTTAAATGAATAGAAAAAAGAAAAACATATTAATTTTTGTTTCGACAGAGTTATCTCATCAAAGTATTTCAATGCACTGTTTAAAATAAACAGAGGATCACATTTCTGATATATTACACGCATTTGATTGTAATATTCTCTTATCGGCAAGTGATCCTATAATTTAGTTTGAACAGTGTAATCGCCAATATTATGCTCTAGACATGTTGTAAGATGAACCTTGTCACCTATGCCTGCACGGATCACCTCGACACCTAGAGTGTTTTTCAACTTTTCACGTATATCATCTGAAAATATAACGTAGTTGTATTAATTTCATGATTTATGATTTCACGATTATTAAAGATTAATTAATTCATTCGTAGACAGTGGAAAAAAGAAGAATCTAAACAGAGATTTGTTTAAATTCTATTAAATAAATACAACATTCTGAATGTTTCTCATATTTCTGTACATTTGCATTCCATGCATTTTTTGTATCTTTAAATTTTCTTCTTCTTTCTTTGTTACTTGATTATTTATGATAAATTACTTGATTACCTATGTTGTTGACTACATCAGTAGCGTTGTAATTCTTATTATTTTTGACCACTTTGAACGTCACCTCCGCACGACCAACTCGGATATCTTTCAAAGAGCCAGACGTTAGTCCCAGTAATTCGCCTACCTAAAAATTAAACGTTCGATTCGTCTGTGCTTTTCGAAACAGATTTATAAATCAAGTTAACAACTATTACTTTTTTAACGACGTGTTCACCGTCCGACCATTTATGAAATGGTTGTTGAAATTCCACATAGACATGATCCAGATCGACATTGTTATACAATTTCGAGTCTGCTTGCTGTTCAATCGCCACTTCCTTTTTCACGTATGAATTAAGTAGCACGTCATTCTAAAAGTCAATATTTTATTTTGCATTTTATTTCGTATTTTTTCTCACGTTCTTGAAATATTTTCTATTTCGAGAAATCTTGCTTTTCTACATGATCGACGACTTACGCTTTGTTCGGTTCCAGTGGAATCGGAAGGATTTTCATTTCCTAAAACTGCAGAGATATCAATTTACGTCGGGGACAAATAATAATTGAAAATTGCAAATATTTACCGGACGGCGATGGAGTTTTAAACGCGTAGTTGTTCGTTGAGAACAGAGGCCCCGGTTTCTTAACATCCCCACGTTTAAATCCAGCTGATCCATACTTGCGAAGCAGTTCGTTCAAATTGTCAATGTTAGCCTTGTCAGCGGCCTGAACGAGCCCTCCTTCCGTGTAAATTCCATTGTCCATCGGCGAGATATCCCTCTGAGGCAATTCTTCTTCGTCGTTCAGATCGTCGTAATCGTCGCTGTTGTAATCGTTCTTCAAATTGCGTTTCACATTTTCCAGAAGTAGCTTGTCCTCGTCCGTGGTATCGGTGAACTTCCTGGGTTTATACTTTCCTGAGAACGCTTTCTCATACTCGACGTCGAGATTCTCGTCCTCGAGCTCTTTTTTGTCGGAATAATCTTCGGACTTATCATTGATCAGAAACTCCAGGTCTGAGAGCTTCTTCGACACCTCCTCCTCCAGAACATCTTTAATCGATTCCATCGCGTTGTCATCGTAGCTTTGCAAGTATCTGCCGATCGGAGGTTGCCGCCTGGTTCGAGACAGCCTCTCGTCGATCCCATCGAAAGTCAGTGGATTCTTCTCCTCGTAGGTTTCTTCGTTCGTTAAAGGATTGTATTCGTTGTCAGAGTTCGAGTTGTAGAATCTCGGCTTGTAGAACTGAGAATCGGTTTCTCTGAGCTGTCCTTTGTACGGTGATCGAGGATATTCATTGTCG